CACGCACACACACACACACACACACACACGCTTATGCCCAAAACAGCGCAACGCACACCCAACATCACGCTCATACATCGCGTATCGACGCTGTCTCTATGCCATACACGAGTACGTATCCATTCTAGAGTTTCTCTACAAAGAGCAAACCGCGTGTGTAAGTATAGAGGGTTCAGCGATTTGCACTAAAAATAGCAATATACCTACAATCCTGTGCCGTCGGCCATCTTGGTTCCAAAAAGAGCGAACACGTGTTGCGTGTAATTTGCCGATCTGCGCAATCAACCGATTTTACATTGGCTATAGTGTTATTATTGCAATAGATATTAGCAGTAATTGTGAATCCCGATTTTGCAGACAGGTTTATCAGCTGGGGTTGTGTTAATTGCTAGGTCGATGAGATTGCGCAGGCCCGGTTTTGCAAGCAGGTTTACCATTGTGGGTTTTAGGTGCGAGTTCAATGATACTGATGCCACACAGTCGGCAGATTCGTAGATTGAGCAGATCGGAAGATTGCACGCAACACATATGTTCATAGACTTGAGTTTGTTTATATCGTGAAAGTTCAGAAATTTCACCGATGTTACTGCATCTACTCTAGCTATCAAACGCAGCTTTTTTATAATAGCTAGTGTATGCACGTTTGTGGACTGTCTGTAGTGTACGTAGTATGAATAAGTACTTTGATTCACTAGACAACGTAGCCAAAGCACGCTATCTCGAAAAAATTGCGTGCATTGGGAATCGAGACCCGTACCAAATAGACAATGCCGAATGATGTGAGGACCACAATGTGTCACAATGTGACCACAACCCATCACACACCTATTTGGATCTCGTAAACTACCTAACATTCCAGCCGAGTCCATTTTATACTCTTAAGGACTTTCAGAACTACAAAAGCCTGGATGCCTACGATCGACTGTTCTGCGGTTGGGTTAGTGGTGTATCAGTCTACATCTATCATGTGAACAGTGAGAGTTACATCTACGTTATCCGAGCACGTGTTATGCACATGCACTCCCAGTCTCTAATTATACCATATCTCTATCCGTGCATGGGTCATGATGAGAGAGTATGGGACAGGCATCATGTCAGCACACTGTAATTGTAAAGCCGGGCTTGGTGAATTCTGTTCTCATGTTGCCTCGGTGCTATTTTATGTAGAGTATGCTGCACGTGCAAGAGAAATCACCACCCCCACTCAAACAGCTGCCTACTGGATGCCGGCGATATATGTATATAAGTGTAAATGTGTAGCAGCCTGCGCCGTGCGTGCGGTGTTACGCCGGTGTACCTGTGTGTTGCAGAGGAGCATTTGACCGGCATTTACATGCAGGTAATTATCGGCAATACTAGGCGAAAGAAAGTAGAAAAACATTAATACATTGGTAGTAAATACATTTCGTGTTTATTCAGCATTGCTTTTTTATTGAAAATGCCCCAAGCGTCTGTGGTCCGCCTTGTCTCTCGTCACTTTACCTTGTGTTGTGATCACGTTTGGCAGCCTAAAAAAGCTGTGTGGCTCTCTCTGATACCGATTGCTGCAGTTGCGCAGGAGAGCGGCGTTGTGATGGATTTGCTTACACCCCCGTCACACCGGACGGCGACCATCCGCGACCATCCGCGACCGTACGGCGACCAGAAAATGTACAAGGTCGCCGACAAACGCGAACCCACCGCGTTCTTATCGCGTTCCAGGTCAGATCGCCGAACCTTGGCGTTTGTTTTGAACATGCTCAAAACAAACGCCGTGACTCGGCGATCATTGGCGATCATTGGCGACCATGGCGACCACAGCACGATGTCTGGCGTTTCCACCACGCTTATACCACGCTTATGGCGACCTTGGCGCGCTCTGGGCCCATTTTCCGTCGCCGTAGAAGCGCAGTAAGGACGCCACCCCGGTGTGACGGGGGTTAGGCATATATTCTGACCAGTTTGGTCTATCACCGATCTAAATTTCGTCATCTTCATCCCGGCGTTGCT